ATGTCTGTCATAAACGTACATATCATTACCCTATAACAAACATAATGTCTGTCATAAACGTATATCATTACCCTATAACAAACATAATGTCTGTCATAAACGTACATATCATTACCCTATAACAAACATATAAACGTATGTCTGTCATAAACGTAAACATTACCCTATAACAAACATACATATCATATCATTACCCTATAACAAACATAATGTCTGTCATAAACGTACATATCATTACCCTATATCAAACATAATGTCTGTCATAAACGTACATATCATTACCCAAACATATGTCTGTCAAAACACAATCATTACCCTATAACAAACATTATCGTATTTACACTATCATAATGTCTACCATAAACGTACATATCATTACCCTATAACAAACATAATGTCTGTCATAAACGTACATATCATTACCCTATAACAAACATAATGTCTGTCATAAACGTACATATCATTACCCTATAACAAACATAATGTCTGCCATAAACGTACATATCATTACCCTATAACAAACATAATGTCTGTCATAAACGTACATATCATTACCCTATAACAAACATAATGTCTGTCATAAACGTACATATCATTACCCTATAACAAACATAATGTCTGTCCCTAAACAAACATAATGTCATAAACGTACATATACCCTATAACAAACATAATGTCTGTCATAAACGTACATATCATTACCCTATAACAAACATAATGTCTGTCATAAACGTACATATCATTACCCTATAACAAACATAATGTCTGTCATAAACGTACATATCATTACCCTATAACAAACATAATGTCTGTCATAAACGTACATATCATTACCCTATAACAAACATAATGTCTGTCATAAACGTACATATCATTACCCTATAACAAACATAATGTCTGTCATAAACGTACATATCATTACCCTATAACAAACATAATGTCTGTCATAAACGTACATATCATTACCCTATAACAAACATAATGTCTGTCATAAACGTACATATCATTACCCTATAACAAACATGATCGTATTTACCCTAACATAATGTCTGTCATAAACGTACATATCATTACCCTATAACAAACATAATGTCTGTCATAAACGTACATATCATTACCCTATAACAAACATAATGTCTGTCATAAACGTACATATCATTACCCTATAACAAACATAATGTCTGTCATAAACGTACATATCATTACCCTATAACAAACATAATGTCTGTCATAAACGTACATATCATTACCCTATAACAAACATAATGTCTGTCATAAACGTACATATCATTACCCTATAACAAACATGATCGTATTTACCCTAACATAATGTCTGTCATAAACGTACATATCATTACCCTATAACAAACATGATCGTATTTACCCTAACATAATGTCTGTCATAAACGTACATATCATTACCCTATAACAAACATAATGTCTGTCATAAACGTACATATCATTACCCTATAACAAACATAATGTCTGTCATAAACGTACATATCATTACCCTATAACAAACATAATGTCTGTCATAAACGTACATATCATTCCCTATAACAAACATGGTCGTATTTACCCTAACATAATGTCTGCCATAAACGTACATATCATTACCCTATAACAAACATAATGTCTGTCATAAACGTACATATCATTACCCTATAACAAACATAATGTCTGTCATAAACGTACATATCATTACCCTATAACAAACATAATGTCTGTCATAAACGTACATATCATTACCCTATAACAAACATAATGTCTGTCTGTCACAAACCCTATAACAAACATAATGTACATATCATTACCCTATAACAAACATGATCGTATTTACCCTAAACATAATGTCTGTCATAAACGTACATATCATTACCCTATAACAAACATAATGTCTGTCATAAACGTACATATCATTACCCTATAACAAACATAATGTCTGTCATAAACGTACATATCATTACCCTATAACAAACATAATGTCTGTCATAAACGTACATATCATTACCCTATAACAAACATAATGTCTGTCATAAACGTACATATCATTACCCTATAACAAACATAATGTCTGTCATAAACGTACATATCATTACCCTATAACAAACATAATGTCTGTCATAAACGTACATATCATTACCCTATAACAAACATGGTCGTATTTACCCTAACATAATGTCTGCCATAAACGTACATATCATTACCCTATAACAAACATAATGTCTGTCATAATACATATCTTCTGTTTCTTTGCTACACCTACTATCAACCACGAATTGAGTTTCATTTATGCAGATTAACATACATTATTAATAAAGCAGCTAAACAAATTTACTTGAAATAAATAGAAATTTCCACACCTACACAAAATGTTCCGGTATTAAAGATAAAATGATTTGTTTTCAAATAGATTGTCAGGTTTTTTTTCATGTTCTTGTTGATACTTGTTTGTACATCGAACGATGTCAACTCATTAGTATAACACACGTCACAAGTGACGTCAGTTCCGCTAAAGTTTAAGTTTGGACGAGATGTAATTTTGAGAAGCACTTATTAATTATTTCAGCTGCATGGCTATTTTATTCACGAAGTAAGTGTTTTTTTTTCCATGTATAAATTTACCAGCAATAACTCCAAACCCTCGTTTAGTTGTTGCTGCGACAATACCAACTGGAAACGTTACAAAATTTCCGAGCAGTCGGGCGAGTGCCCTGATCACTTGCCGAACAACCCTGCTTACTGTTGACTGGGAAATTGCGATGGGATCATCAACGAGTAGTTGAAAGGCGCCAGTAGCAAAAATCTCAAAGTAATTAGCACTTGCAATAATGATGGAATGGCCAGACTCTGTCGAGTCTTACGAGTGTTAGTATCATGAACTAAATCAACAACGAAGATAATGGTTGCTGGACGAAATCGGTATCGCCGGAAAACCTTGTCTTCGGAGAGACTTTCAAGAGGATTCTGCCTATCAGGAAATACTCTTGGCCTTGGAATCATTCTTTCACGGATTTCTCTCTGCATGAAACATGCTGCCGCCATGACGAGAATGATATCCATGCGAAGGACCATGGTTAAACAAACTTGAGAACGTGCTCAAAAGTTGAGCACAGAATTTTTCGTGAATACGACTTGAGCACGAGAATAAAATAGGTGAGCACAAAACCCGAATTTTGAGTACAAAAACTTGAGTTTGAGCATGAGAAGGTTTCGTGAATACGGGCCCTTATTCGATATGAGACCCATAGGGCCTGTATTCCTCACATGCATTCGTTCGCTTCATCTACAGTAACTGAAAAAGGTTTATAAAAATATCTATTTCCCAATTAAGGACAGCCCCTCTGCCCCATGGACATCAGATGACTGCGACAAAAGTTTGATATTCCTACAGAGGGTCGGATTGTAAAGAAACTTCTGTTTCAGCTATTGGGCCCGTCCGGGCCCGTCCCTCCCTGCCCTGGGAGCCCCGAGGCCAATCTCTTAAACAAAATAACAAATTTGGCTTGGCTAAAATCTATTCCTTGAGGAGGAGGAAGAAGAGGAGGAGGATTTTAAAGAAATTGCTATATTTCTTCTGTTTGGCACCGTAGACGTACCATTGTATATTTAAATTATTTTGTCAAAACCAGCAGAAGACGAGAAGATAAAAAGGAGAACATAAAAGAAAAAGAGGTTACACAGATTCTATCGATTCAGTGCCGACTACAAACAGGTCAGGTAATCATCAATTAGAAAACAGGATTTTCTAGACCGAATTACTCAGGCGTTTTTTTCTGTCATGACATATCATTTTAAATGACAGAACATCATGATCGGAATGAACATACTAGGCTCTTTTTCTGTTGTATTTTTGTGTTACTAACTACAAACATTCCAAGCTATTGGAGACTAGTTGTTTCGCAGTTTATTTACAAATGGCTGTAACACGGTGATCTAAACTTCGGCGCTTTAGGTACCTCCTAGCTGAACTTCTATAGGATGTACTTTATACATATGTAATCATTTATCATCTCCCTCCGAACATGAATAGTCCGTCCTCAAGTTTTGTGCTGTAAATAGCATAAAATACACAAGAATTTTAATCATAAGTCGTGTTTTGAACAAGATAACTTTAGCTCTGTTGAACTATTCTTACGACTATTAACATAAACACAATAATTCACACATTAAAATATCACCATGAAGTCATGCAGACATATATTTATAGATTTTAAAATTCCAATACTAATCTTCAGTTCATTGCAGTGTTTGACAATTCGGGCATCGCAGGTGGATGAGAGGCGTTTGAGACATTAACCGGTGGGAACTAGAGTTACTCCCCTTCTGTCGTGAGTTTCATTTCTAACTAACATAGCTTAAGCTTGATTGGGTTACATAACATATGCGCGGGCTACATAACATATGCACATAGGCACTTCGAAAATATAGAAATATATCTATTAGAATCAAATTCATGTAAACTTACACTGTAAATAGTTTCTTCTGTCAGTGTTGTTCTATCTGAAAAATCTTATCCGCCAGTTACTGGCACTTACTGTGGTAGGCTACAGTGCTGCAACTTGGAAACGAAGTAAACTCGAAGACAGGTGATCACGTACAGGTAGTAGAAACGGTGTGCAACAGTGTTTTATTGATTTATTATTGAAAAGTAAACTGAGCTTGAGAAGGACCAAACTTTCTGTGTTCTGAAATAAGTTTCCCGTACCTAATTAATTTTTTTATATTAACGTCAGTTGACTATAATGGAATTTGTATTGTTTACCAATGGCCGCCACATACCTCGACAAACCAGTCTGTAAACAAGCTAATATTTTTGCATAAATTGTGACTGACTAGCACATATTGATAATGGCGTCGTAACTTTGTCATGGCTCGTTAGAGAGCAAAATAGAATCCTATTTCACAAATTTATAAACCATTTGTGATTGGTCTATCGGTAAAAACAAGATGGCTTACAACGAGCCGAGTAGTCCCGCAGTAATAGCATATAGATCCGGAAGAAAGTTTTACGGCCAGGATCAATGTCCGATCATGGGAACCAAACCGAGAAAGAAGGTAATTAACTAATAAAGACAGCCTCCATGCACAAATACATGCATCTGTAATGTAAACAACTCGAGCTAAAATCCAGTCCTCCGTGTATCGTGCTATGCATAATGGTATATTAAATCAGAGACGTATATATATGTGCGTCTCTGGTTAAATATACTGGATTTTTGCTCGAGTTTTTACGTTCAAGATACAAGTGCCCATCCTCCTATTAGACAGAAAATTTCAGTGACTGAAATGATAATTTAATGACGGTTTTCACATTGATCATGGTGTTCATATGAAAAGTTTGTTTGATTATTGATTAATTCTAGAGTCTGTAAAATTTATCCTAGTACACATGTACTATTGTATGTGCTTCAGGAGATAGTGGGTCCATTTTACAATCAAACATGCATTCACGAAAAGTCCTGCACGTGCTTGACAACGTAATATATAGGTACTCTAGCCCAAGGCTAATATATCCCTTTCCAAAACATGTTACAGTTGTCTATCGCATGTTGCTAATAAACATTATGCTATGCCAGAACTCATTCATATTTTGTGTAGAAGTTGAGAGTACAGGTTGCCATACTTCCAACGACTGACAGAGCAAATCTGTTTCTCTGCCAATAGACATTGCTATGACTTTTAAAAGTAGGAAATTAAACCTTTGCAATATGGAATTTAGCTGAAGCTATGAAGATGTGCTTTGTGTACGGTAATAAAAAGGAGACAATGTCCGTTTTGTGGGAAAACACCCTAAAAGTACTCCTTTTCGGCAATACTACTCCTTTTCGTGGTTTACCTCTACTGCAGGACTAGTGGTAATTTCCCTTTAGTTGAGTCGTAGAATATCTGGTTAGAGATTGAAGGGTCACTAGTTTGAATGCCAGAAGTGGCAGGGTGTTTTCATTACTTCTTCCTGTTACAAGTTAGTTGGTACATGTCAATTGTCTGAGTTTAGTTGGGTCTCCAGAATGAACTAGTAGACATTTTAACACAATGTGTAGTAAAGGAGTAAGTCCAACACAGCAAGTTCTTCTTTAAATCTGTATTATAACAGAGCGTTAAGGCAGTTGTGATGGTCCAATCCTTTCTTTCTAAAGAGTTCTGGTCCTTGAGTTTGCCATACTTACCTACCATGGATTAATGTAGAATTTGGGAATACTACTCATTGTGAAAGAATGGGATTTTTTGGGTCATTTTGAGAAATGAAAGAATTTCAGATAGCTCTTTGGGTCACAAATCAAGAGAGGGATAGGGTAAATCTATGTGTCCTACATGAATACTACATGAATAAACTAGGGTAATATTGAGGATAGATTGATATCACTTTTCTAGATAGCATGATTACATAACATGTTTAGTAAAATTATACCAATTAACTCTGTTTTGGAGAAAGTTTTCTCTGCTTTGGGGAAATTTTCCCAGTTTTTGAGTATATTTGCTTGATGAGGACTTTGTTTCACTTGGTGAATTCTACCCTTTTTTTGGTAGTGAAATTTGTCTAGATTAATCCCTGGAACATATGAATTAACAGTTCTTATACAAGATTGATTGTCATGATTTATGGTTCCTGTAATTTTGTAAATAAATCGGCTTCCCAGAAATGTTTACAAATATGTGTTATCTAATCCTAATATTATAGCTCCTGTGTGAACATTACTTCCAGCAAGTGTAACAACAGCCTTGTCAATCATTGTACTTACATACTGTTGGAGTGGGATATTGTTACAACAGAATACAATATTACATGTATTTAGGGATTTATATCATTTAAATGATTTTGAATTAGCTTTTAATATACCATTAAATGTCATCGAATGATAATTTCCTTCATAACAAGTTGAAGTCTCCTTTATCAGGACTGATGTACATCCAGGACTGTCTCATATCATTTAAGATAATGGTATATCACACACCATCATCCTGTTTTAATGGCTTTACATATTAATGTTTATTTGCTGTAACAGGTGTGTGGTATGTCGATATCATTGGAATGTTACATTTTAACATTTGATATATTGATACTGCAAAAAGGTGAATGAATTTAGAGTTAAATGTCTTAAAGTGAAGTTTAATCAGAGAAATAAATTGCTTGAAATGGAGATCACCACACATAATATAACTGCATCAAGATGTCATCTTGATTCAATCAGATGTAGGAAAGATTTCTATTATTCCCATATAAAGAGGTTTATACAGCACATATTTTACTTCTATTGGAAATGAAGGAGAATACCTTAAATTTTAGTGGTTTTTTTTTTTTTTTGTAATTATCAGATAAAGGCAAAAAATCAAATTTAAAAGATAAAAGATATTTGGATAAGAAAATCTGACACAATCACTCAGTTGGTATAGCATGGTATGATCCTAATCCCTTCTGGGAATCTGCCTTGGGGCTCATTTATAGCAGTGTGTGCCAAACTTTTACAGGTCATTTGGGCAGGTAATCAAAGATTTCTACCAGTCCAAAATAAATTTTACAGGTCCGAAAATTGAGTTTTATTTGAACATTACAAATTTTTTTTGTGCAAATTTGAATTTGACTATTCTGTTTTGTCATATTGAAGCTGCTGCATGCTTTTATCCCAGTCTGTCATAGAATTTCTATCTCTCTTTTCCTCGTATGCTTTCCTTTTTTCCTTCATTTCACCAGGTACTAACTTTTGTTTCTACAGAGCGGTACCAGACATTGTTGCTGGATTTATTTGAATTTTTTTTATAGGACATTTGGGCATGTATCTGAAATATTTTACCTGTCCCGAGATATTTTCTTCGGACATGTCTGACTGTCCGACGGAGTTTGGTACGCACTCTTATATAGGAGATGTTTGACAATGTCCCAATGAAGAGTCCCAGAATTGATTACATGTGACACTTACAGCTCGATCCCTACCTGTGGCAACTTTTGTTTCACAGCGGACCTGGTCAGACAAACAGATTTGTATGTTGGCTTGTAAATTTTCATATTAATTATCCTGAATATTTACAGAGGATGACAGTGAAGCGGTGGATTAGTGTGAAACTCGGTGATATAAAGGAATACATACTATATAAAAACTCAGCTGATGTGGCTCATTTCTGTCCAGTCCTGGGATATTTGGTTCTGCTGTATATGCTGTTCTGTAAGTATATTATTGTTAATTACAGTACTGTATTTATCCAGATTGTTACAATGTCAACATTCCAATAATGTCACCTTTACAAGGGAGGTGTGTTGTCTATACTGACTTACATGTCAGTACATTTTTGTTATCATTTTACATATTTTGTGAGGTGTCATTTGTTATAATGTAAATGTATTTTACCATGAACTATCAGATACACAGCAGATGTCAACTGAAGTTCAGCTTTTACTACTTGTGGTGGTTCAACATCTCGTACAACATCACCCGTCATTGTTTGAGAGGACTTGTCTTAGAAGTATGCTGTATTCTTTATGTATCCAGCCTGTTAGAGAGGACTTGTCTAAGAAGTATGCTGTGTTCTTTGTGATTATGTATCCAACCTGTTTGAGAGGACTTGTCTTAGAAGTATGCTGTATTCTTTGAGATGATTTTGTATCCAGCCTGTTTGAGAGGACTTGTCTTAGAAGTATGCTGTGTTCTTTGAGATGATTTTATATTCAGCCTGTTTGAGAAGACTTGTTTTAGAAGTATGCTGTATTCTTTATGTATCCAGCCTGTTTGAGATGACTTGTCTTAGAAGTATGCTGTATTCTTTATGATTATGTATCCAGCCTGTTTGAGAGGACTTGTCTTATAAGTATGCTGTATTCTTTATGATTATGTATCCAGCCTGTTTGAGAGGACTTGTCTTATAAGTATGCTGTATTCATTATGATTCTGTATCCATCCTGTTTGAGAGGACTTGTCTTAGAAGTATGCTGTATTCTTTATGATTATGTATCCAGCCTGTTTGAGAGGACTTGTCTTATAAGTATGCTGTATTCTTTATGATTATGTATCCAGCCTGTTTGAGAGGACTTGTCTTAGAAGTATGCTGTATTCATTATGATTCTGTATCCATCCTGTTTGAGAGGACTTGTCTTAGAAGTATGCTGTATTCTTTATGATTATGTATCCAGCCTGTTTGAGAGGTCTTGTCTTAGAAGTATGCTGTATTCATTATGATTTTGTATCCAGCCTGTTTGAGAGGACTTGTCTTAGAAGTATGCTGTATTCTTTGAGATGATTAATGTATCCAGCCTGTTTGAGAGGACTTGTCTTAGAAGTATGCTGTATTCTTTATGTATCCAGCCTGTTAGAGAGGACTTGTCTAAGAAGTATGCTGTATTCTTTGAGATGATTTTATATCCAGCCTGTTTGAGAGGACTTGTCTTAGAAGTATGCTGTATTCTTTGTGATTATGTATCCAGCCTGTTTGAGAGGACTTGTCTTAGAAGTATGCTGTATTCTGTTTGAGAGGACTTGTCTTATAAGATGATTTTATATCCAGCCTGTTTGAGAGGACTTGTCTTAGAAGTATGCTGTATTCTTTGAGATGATTAATGTATCCAGCCTGTTTGAGAGGACTTGTCTGAGAAGTATGCTGTGTTCTTTGAGATGATTTTGTATCCAGCAATTGGAACAGCCGTTGCTCTGTAATGTGAGAATGAGTAGCACTGATGATCATTTGCTATATGTTTATTACTGTTGCTATGGAGTGTATCACAAAGAGTGAAGAGTTCCAAAAATTTATGAGCAGCGTTAACACTACTGGGAAAGTTGTGCTAGCACATCCTTTTCTCAGGTACTTGTAACTAAACTGGACACTTGAGTGGAATCTGCATTCAAAATAATGAACAGTGATATGTGGAAGCAGTTTTAAAATTTTCAGGTTAATATTTTACTGTGTGTTTATTCATTGAAAATTGTTCTGTTACTGGAAATCTGGCTGATTATGATATTATCTACAGCAAGTTACAGCTGCTCGTATATAAGGCTCTGAATTCTTTCTAATACATTTGTAATTACCAGCTCGGACTAATGGGATTAATTGAAAAGGTTGCATTGGTAAAACAGTAACATGTGACCTGTGGGAAGTAACAGTAACATGTGACCTGTGGGAAGTAACAGTAACATGTGACCTGTGGGAAGTAACAGTAACATGTGATATAGGCTTATATCAACCACATATCACAGTAACATGTGACCTGTCGAAAGGAACAGTAACATGCGACCTGTCAGAAAGAACAGTAACATGTGACCTGTCAGAAGTAACAATAACATGTGACCTGTCAGAAGGAACAATAACATGTGACCTGTCAGAAGGAACAGTAACATGTGACCTGTCAGAAGGAACAGTAACATGTGACCTGTCAGAAGTAACAGTAACATGTGACCTGTCAGAAGGAACAGTAACATGTGACCTGTCAGAAGGAACAGTAACAGCGTTATGTGGTGTATATAGGCTTATATCAACCATATATCACAGTAACATGTGACCTGTCGGAAGGAACAGTAACATGTGACCTGTCAGAAGGAACAGTAACATGTGACCTGTCAGAAGTAACAATAACATGTGACCTGTCAGAAGGAACAGTAACAGCGTTATGTGGTGTATATAGGCTTATATCAACCATATATCACAGTAACATGTGACCTGTCGGAAGTAACAGTAACATGTGACCTGTCGGAAGGAACAGTAACATGTGACCTGTCAGAAGTAACAATAACATGTGACCTGTCAGAAGGAACAGTAACATGTGACCTGTCGGAAGGAACAGTAACATGTGACCTGTCAGAAGTAACAGTAACATGTGACCTGTCAGAAGTAACAGTAACATGTGACCTGTCGGAAGGAACAGTAACATGTGACCTATCGGAAGTAACAGTAACATGTGACCTATCGGAAGGAACAGTAACATGTGACCTGTCAGAAGTAACAATAACATGTGACCTGTCAGAAGGAACAATAACATGTGACCTGTCGGAAGTAACAGTAACATGTGACCTGTCGGAAGGAACAGTAACATGTGACCTTTCAGAAGTAACAGTAACATGTGACCTGTCGGAAGGAACAGTAACATGTGACCTATCGGAAGGAACAGTAACATGTGACCCGTGGGAAGTAACAGTAACATGTGACCTGTCGGAAGTAACAGTAACATGTGACCTGTCAGAAGTAACAGTAACATGTGACCTGTGGGAAGTAACAGTAAAATGTGACCTGTGGGAAGTAACAGTAAAATGTGACCTGTGGGAAGTAACAATAACAACATAATATGGTGCATATAGGCTTATATCAACCACATATCACAGTAACATGTGACCTGTGGGAAGTAACAGTAACATGTGACCTGTGGGAAGTAACAATAACATGTGACCTGTGGGAAGTAACAGTAACACGTCACCTGTCAGAAGGAACAATAACATGTGACTTGCCAGAAGGAACAGTAACATGTGACCTGTCAGAAGTAACAGTAACATGTGACCTGTCAAGAAGGAACAGTAACATGTGACCTGTCAGAAGGAACAGTAACATGTGACCTGTTGGAAGGAACAGTAACATGTGACCTGTAGGAAGTAACAGTAACATGTGACCTGTCGGAAGGAACAGTAATAGCATAATGTGGTGTATATAGGCTTATATCAACCACATATCACAGTAACATGTGACCTGTCGAAAAGAACAGTAACATGTGACCTGTCAGAAGGAACAGTAACATGTGACCTGTTGGAAGTAACAGTAACATGTGACCTGTGGGAAGTAACAGTAACAGCGTTATGTGGTGTATATAGGCTTATATCAACCATATATCACAGTAACATGTAACCTGTCGGAAGGAACAGTAACATGTGACCTGTCGGAAGGAACAGTAACATGTGACCTGTCGGAAGGAAAAGTAATATGTGACCTGTCAGAAGTAACAATAACATGTGACCTGTCGGAAGGAACAGTAACATGTGACCTATCGGAAGTAACAGTAACATGTGACCTGTCAGAAGTAACAGTAACATGTGACCTGTCAGAAGTAACAGTAACATGTGACCTGTCGGAAGGAACAGTAACATGTGACCTATATAAGTAACAGTAACATGTGACCTATCGGAAGGAACAGTAACATGTGACCTGTCAGAAGTAACAATAACATGTGACCTGTCAGAAGGAACAATAACATGTGACCTGTCGGAAGTAACAGTAACATGTGACCTATCGGAAGGAACAGTAACATGTGACCCGTGGGAAGTAACAGTAACATGTGACCTGTCGGAAGTAACAGTAACATGTGACCTATCGGAAGGAACAGTAACATGTGACCCGTGGGAAGTAACAGTAACATGTGACCTGTCGGAAGTAACAGTAACATGTGACCTGTCAGAAGTAACAGTAACATGTGACCTGTGGGAAGTAACAGTAAAATGTGACCTGTGGGAAGTAACAGTAAAATGTGACCTGTGGGAAGTAACAATAACAACATAATATGGTGCATATAGGCTTATATCAACCACATATCACAGTAACATGTGACCTGTGGGAAGTAACAGTAACATGTGACCTGTGGGAAGTAACAATAACATGTGACCTGTGGGAAGTAACAGTAACACGTCACCTGTCAGAAGGAACAATAACATGTGACTTGCCAGAAGGAACAGTAACATGTGACCTGTCAGAAGTAACAGTAACATGTGACCTGTCGGAAGTAACAGTAACATGTGACCTGTCGGAAGTAACAGTAACATGTGACCTGTCAGAAGGAACAGTAACATGTGACCTGTTGGAAGGAACAGTAACATGTGACCTGTAGGAAGTAACAGTAACATGTGACCTGTCGGAAGGAACAGTAATAGCATAATGTGGTGTATATAGGCTTATATCAACCACATATCACAGTAACATGTGACCTGTCGAAAAGAACAGTAACATGTGACCTGTCAGAAGGAACAGTAACATGTGACCTGTTGGAAGTAACAGTAACATGTGACCTGTGGGAAGTAACAGTAACAGCGTTATGTGGTGTATCAGGGTTTTCCATAAGAGCCGGTTGCGGGCCAATTTGACCGGCTACTTTGATCATTTGGCCGCCTACACCAATCCATTTCCGTAATAATGTTCCGTACACGACTACAGGTACACGGCAGGCCAGCCTCCTACTTTCACTACACAGCCTACTACTAACAAAATTATTGAAAACCCTGGTGTATATAGGCCTATAACAATCATTTCGTCATCTCAGAAATTTGACAGGCTTCTTTTGAAGAATTTGAATACTTTAGAATGAACATAGTATGATTATATAATGTAATCCAGTGTAGGTTCTCATCAGCTAACTGACTAGTCAAACTAGGTAAGATATAGACATATTTACTAGTATTTATTTGTTATAGAAGTATTCAAAACTAGAAAAGTGTTAAGTTGTATGTAGGTACAACAACTCTATATGCTTGTTTATAGTTCAAGGGAAAGAATACTTTACAGATTTTGTGATTTTGATATTTTGCTATTTTGAAAGGGTCACTGAATTCACAACAACTACAAACCTAAAAGGAATTCCTGATATAGAAGCTGACTGTTGTGTATCTTTCGGTCTTTCTGATAATTTGTTCCTACGTCTGCTGCCAAAATTAGGATTTTTTTCTTGATTAGTTTTGTGAGGAAAATATTATCACAGTTATTATTATTACAGTATTGTTATCATATTTTTAATTTTCTCTTGTAGTTCAGCTTCATGGGTTCATTCCAGACAACTGGGAATCAACAAAGGTGACTATTCACACAACAGACTGCCTCAACCTATATCATGTATCATGTTGTAGTGTTTGAATTTCCATGAGGGAGATTTTGTGTTACAATTTTCTTAAGCTAACATGGATCACTTCCTTGAAGGACAACAAAACATTTTCTGTTAAGGCCACTTGGTTGCATTTATAAATCTTCATCTTTTAATAAATTTTAGGAATAACTGAAAAAGGAATTTATTCAAATTTAATGTCATGCTAAAACTATCTATATCTGAGCAATGAATCTCAGTATTTTACTGACCAGAAGGGTCAGGATGGCTTATAGCCACCTTATTTAGTCCTTCTTCGTTGACTGGTGTAAACTTCGCATTTGAATGACTTCTTCTCATTAACCATAAAGCACATACTGATACTGATATTAGGCCTGTAGCATGCTTGGATGAAGCACTAACATGTTTGTTCAAATGAAGGGCTACTTACAAGATCACAGGGGTCAAATGTGTTAAAATATTTACCAAGTAAATGACTTCTAGTCTTGTAACCCTAAAGGCCAGGGTGCTGATATTGGGCATGTAGCATGCTGGAATGAAGGGCTGCCAAGTTTGTTAAAATGAATGACCTTTCACTTTCATGGTCAAAGGGGTCAAATATAGTTCTCTTGTTTGACTTTGCTGTTAAGATAATTAGATAACTTCTTAGTAATACTACTGTTATATACACCTTAGAAAATAATTGAAATTCATTATAAATTTGATTTATTAGTGTCATTAGAATCTGTATCGTAATAGTTGTGAATGTTGTACTGTGATATACAGTGGGAACTGTTACATTGACGATATTTTCTTTTCAGATGTATATACCTCCTACACCAGTTCCTCAAGAAGACATCGGCAATATGGAGGACCTCAAGGATGGTATAACATTTGTCACAGCTTACTTTGATCTTGGTACTTTTAAAAAAGGATCGATGGTATTCAAATACTTTGGAAAACACACGTATATGAATTGGATGGCTGCATATTCAAAATTCAACAACTCTGTGATTTTTTTTACGGATTCATCTGATATGGAAGATTTGTTTCGTGATATCAGAAAACAGTTTCCTAGCCATATGACACGCGTTATCAGAATAGAACAGGACAAATTATGGTCATTCAGATTAGCCCCACAGATTAAACAGATATATTTGCAGCCAGGGTATCCGAAATACCCCCCAAACACTGTCAAGGAAAAATACCCCTGTGCTATGCATGTGAAATATGAAGCCCTTGAAATGGTGATTCGCCAAAAACTATATGATACCAAACATTTAGCGTGGATTGATATAGGATATTTTCGTGATAAAGAGACAAAAACATTTACATTAGAAACGCCTGATGATTTTAAAGATGACCATATAGCTTTCATGCAAATAGATAAATTTTATGAAGGTCTATTATCTCGAGATGTGATATGGAACAATATGGTTTGGATAGCTGGTGGAATGTTCCTCGGTCGACCTGATTATCTGTTAACCTTCATAGCTGATTACAAACGTGCTGTGGAGAGCTTGATAGCAGAGAAACTGATGAGTACTGATCAACAAATCTTGTATATCATGTATTCCAAGCAGACACACATAGGTGCACGTGTACCCATCCAAGTATATTACCACAAATGTCGTTGTGACTGGTTTTTCTTAGGTACTCTCTGTCGTTATGTCTGGGAGAAGAAACACTGGTATCGTCCACGTTTAGGCTATTTTTTGTCATTGGCTCTGTGATTAGTCCGTCCCTAGTGACTATGATGTTCTGTTAGTTGTTCGATGGAAGGTGTTTTCCATCCTGAATTTTAGTTGAGGATGTCTCTTGTAACCAACTCTTTGGGTTTCCTTTGTAGTCCTGAATCAAATTAATTGTTAATTGAGCAATTAATGTTTGTGGATTTGGTCTCCAAGACAGGAAAGTTATTAAGGCATCAAATTTATATTTTCATTTCATGTCAGACTTTAGACTGAAATTCTGAAGGCTCATTGAAGCTTGAAGAAAACATGAAAATGAGCTTCATTGACCTGCTTTGAAAAGAAAAAAAATTATGATTCCTTTTTATATAAAATTTTCATTAGTTTCAAACACTGATAAATCAAAGAGCTGCAGCAAGTGTAGTTTTTATTCACCATTCAAATCATTATTATTATCATTGCTACCATATTTTACTGTTTGCTTGTTTTTGGTTGGTTGGTTGTTTGGTTGGTTGCTTCTCTGTGAACTCTCAGGCTCATTTTGAGGTGGGGGTCTCCATACAGCTGCCTTCCTGAATACAGTGGCAGCCCCTATCTAGAGTGATTGGGTAAATGTCTTTGCTAAGACAGCACAGGACAGCACAGTGTATGATCTTACAATTAGAAAAGCAAATTGCCATGGATAAGGAGTTAACCTTGAGATTTAACCTTGAGATCTTCACTGAAGGTCACTGACTTCAGGTCATTTAATGTCATTGTTTATATACAAGTATAAGAATTAGGGTCATTGTTTATATACAAGTGTAAGAATTAGGGTCATTGTTTATATACAAGTATAAGAATTAGGGTCATTGTTTATATACAAGTATAAGAATTAGGGTCATTGTTTATATACAAGTATAAGAATTAGGGTCATTGTTGGTAGAGAACTCCCATTGTTTTGATCTATGTTAAAATTAATGTAGCTAGAAATACAGGGAATCATTCAATGGCCAGTATTAGAATGTGCATGTAGAGCAGGAAAAAGTAAAAAAATGATGTGAAATAGCTTTAATACATGTCAGGAAAAAGAGAAGATACAGAATGTGAATGTGGCCTTTGTAGACACTAGAGGCTTTTATACACTTGGTGCTTCAGTATATCCTGTAGATAATGCTCATCACCATATCATTGTCAATATCTTCATCCGTTTGTCATTCTGCTGACAGGGGGATTTAAGGTGGAGTTTTACAAAGGTGAAAGTTTAGAAAGGAAAAATTTACCTACAATAAGTTATTTTCTATGTTGTGAATGTTATATCATGTGATATGCTATGTAATGCTATTTCTCATGTCGTCTCTCATATTGTTTGAATTCCTATCTAACTCATGTAATCCCACTGTTATACCTATTCTTTTTTAATCCATCTATTATCCAGTGAATCTGCCCATTTTGTAGTGTGGTTTTACCCTTTTTCCCAGTCAGAAATTGATAGTGATATAAGATAGACAATGATGTTATGTCATGAATTAAAAGTGGAGCAACAAAATGTCTACCTCCATTTGATATTGTCCTCCACATTTTATTTTAAAACCTGTCAAAATGTAACATTTTTGAAATATATGATAAAAAGTACCATAATTTGTTTTATTTTCATGAGATTTTGTGAAACTCATTTCAAAGTTTTTTATTTGGTCCCCATAGCTCACAAAAAAATTAAAAAAGCTTCTTAGACTCATTTCATAAAATTGACTATGAAAAGAATTTTTTTTTAATATCCAAAGTATATATATTATATATTCTGTAAGTTAATTTTATCTTGTGATTCCGGTAGTCATAGTCATTATATTGTCATTCCAATTTATCATCAGGTGATGTTATAGGATGTATTTATTCCTTAAGCCATGTGATTCCTGTAATAATATATTACTTTTTGAATGGTTCAGTGTTTATTCTGCATAATTGTTCTTAATTAAGGTGGCATCCTGTGATATCATGAATTTAATTGATGAAAATAATTTACATTTGGAGAATATTTACTACATGTTATTGACCTTAATTTTTCTGGCTGACATATATTTTCAGATTTTCTTTTTGTTTTTGTTAAAAATATACTGGAACTGTTTCAATTTTTTCTTTCTATATTGTTCCTATTTCAATATGCATGGAAAAGCACTCAAAACATGCACTTTAATGTCAGAGATGGGAAAGACCTGTCAGGATTTTGTTAAACTTCAGAGTCAAGGATTAAAGTATGAAAATGTCTACTTGAAATTTGAAAAAAAAACCAAACTACTGTTGGGATCAGACACAACATGTATCTATTTGTGATGATTGTATTTTGATATCGGGATGATATATGATAGTCACATGACCTTCAATTTCTTGTCCAATGTTTATTTTATCTACTTGCAACATTTTGGCATTTCTATTGGGAAGATATTGTAAATAGACTTTAAAGTCATGGAAAGAAATGAACATGAAGAGATTTTCTAATGTCTGATCATAGTGTGAGAGGGTATTGTAAAGAATCATAAGGAAAAAGACATTCTAACTGCTTCTGTAGTATAGTTATCACAAGTTCTCAGTTTATACATTAAGAAGATGTTTTATGTTATGGTTGAATATCATTTGACTTCATTAGATCAAAAATTGCATTTTAGATTTTAAAGTACTGATCAAAAGTGTAGGAAAGGTTCATATAGCATTTTCCTTCATTGAAGTTGGTAAGGATATGGCCTAAAGTTGGTCAGGATATGGCCAAAAGATGGTCAGGATATGGCCTAAAGTTGGTCAGGATATGCCCAAAAGATGGTCAGGATATGGCCTAAAGATGGTCAGGATATGGCCTAAAGTTGGTCAGGATATGGCCTAAAGATGTCAGGATATGGCCTGAAGTTGGTCAGGATATGGCCTAAAGTTGGTGAGGATATGGCATAAAGATGGTCAGGATATGGCCAAAAGATGGTCAGGATATGGCCTAAAGATGGTCAGGATATGGCCAAAAGATGGTCAGGATATGGCCTAAAGGTGGTCATGGTATGACCTGATGGTGGTCAGAATATGGCCTAAAGATGTCAGGATATGGCCTGAAGGTGGTCAGGATATGGCTATCATCAGGTTGACCTAACAAAATCAAGTGAGAGTGGGGAGTGCTTTTAATCAATAATTTTTGAACGTATGAATGTTAAAAAAAATTAATGATAATTTAAAAGATTAAGAGTTTGGTATTGAAAAAGCTATGTTAAGTTATGTTGATAAGATATTGACAGCCACTGAATAATTCCAATTCAAAACAAAATAATGTATATGTGAAGAAGCTTTTAACTGATGAAATTCTGTTGATCTTACACACGGAATGGTGGATCACTACTTTATATTAGTGTGTGTATGTGTGTGTGCGAGGGTGTGCATGCATGTGTGTGTGTGTGAGCGTGAGTGTGTGTGCATGTGTGTGTGTGTGTGTGTGTGCGTGTGTGTGCGAGGGTGTGCATGTGTGTGCATGCATGTGTGTGTGTGTGAGCGTGCGAGGGTGTGTGTGTGTGTGTGCGTGCGTGTGTGTGTCTGTGTGCATGGGTGTGTGTGTGTGCATGTGTGTGTGCGTGCGTGTGCATGTGCATGCATGTGAGGGTGTGCATGCTTGTGTTTGTGTGTGTGCGTGCGTTTTTTATAATCATTTTACACTAATTGCACACATCATTGCAGCCCAAAGTACAAAACTTTCAAGTATCCTTTCTCTTTCTTCATGTGATCAATAACCATACAATAGAGCTAACAAGTAGTAGCACCTTTATGTTGTTTGACACAGTCTTTCTATAGCCAACTTATAACCTTTTTTCCTTTGATTTACTAAAACTTGGAAAATAAATAGATTTTTCATGAAAGTGAAAACAACAGATGTATGTTTTTTATCTTATATTCTTCTCAATGACAATTCATCCTCAAAATTAGCTGAAAATAAAAACCTTTGAATTAACATTTATAGTACAGAATTAGGTCCTAATCTGTTACGATAGATCAGTATTTCCCAGCCAACTGTTGCTATTCTGGCCTAATTATTACAGTTTTCTTGCAAAGTTACACTGTTCTGATTTTATTGATATTTTTTTTTCTTTTGTGAAAGATTCTGCATTTTTTTGTGTTTTTGAGAGATTTGATCCAAGCTAGTTAATTGTAGATACATGTAATTTTTGTATGTATTACATTACAATCAGATTACGAGTTCAAAGTAAATAGATGTGCTAGCTAGTTTAGATAATTCTGAGTGTGGATAATAGAAGTCTTTTCCTGTGTTTCCTCAGGCAATATTCCCAAGCATGGCATGAAGCCCATCTATATATTTTACTGTTATATCTGAGTAAAGAAAAATTGCTATTTCATTTTTCCTTCAGTGAGCCTTCCTCACCAAAAGCCAGATTTACTCTGTGATCTGGTTTCTCTAAACTGTATGTATATGTAAACTTCATTTCACTGCCAATTGTTTTACCCTGCATTCTCCTACGTTTCACTTTTCCCGTTATTTTACCACACGTCTTTTGTGTATTAGTTGTCACACAGTTCTGGTTGAGATTCAGCACAATGTATTCATATCTCTTGTACATTTGCATAATACTGTTACAGGTTTTACTTTTGTTCTGCTGGTAATTTTTCTCAGACCTCTATACATAATTTTTATGTTTGGTGATTTCAAAGCCATAAATAGCATCACCTATGAAAATGGGTACATACTATTTAATATGACTCCCTGCTGAAAATCACGTACCATGGTAATATTCACAAGTAGAGGTAATTCTGTCTGTAATGCAGATTTTTGCTTACATTTTCAGATTTCCAACCTGTTCATGTTTTTATTTATTTAGGTGTTTTCCCCAATAAAGTACATAATATTCTCTGACAATATTCTCCACTCTGAATCATTCCATGCTGTGTTATTTTGCGAACCTCAACCAGATGTACTTTTATTCCAGAACTTCGAAGATTGTATTTATACAAAAACCTGTTATTTTATAACTATAAACATATCACATATGTACGAACAAAATGTATGTTTGTGGCCAAAATGTATATGTTGTGTATATGATTATATATGTACTTCTGTATTTTGATCAATACATTGATGACAGGTAGAGTAAGCTGTTATTTATTCACATTTTAAACACATTATATCTTGTTGTGTATGTATACAACCATGTCAGAAATATTGTAAAATACATATATAATAACACCGGTTATGTGAAAAATTCATGTCCTGATAATGTCATGATTGGTAGTGATAAGTATACCACCTAAATAAGTCTGGCTCCAAGCGAAACTTATTGTAGAGT